AAATTAGTATGCCACAGGGTTTTAATTAAACGCCTAAAAGTATGCTCATATTTTACAAAACTAACCAAAATACACTATGGCAGCAATCTGGCAACAAACACAGAAGGCTGTTTGTGTGTGTGTATTTTTCGGTTTTTGTGAAGATGCAATTTCTTCGATTTTCCCATTTGCGGTACTAGGCAAACAGAATCGTGTAGCCGCTATATTTTGACGCAAGGTTAAATTTAAATGCCAATAACTTTGTAACGAATGGAGATATTTGAATGAAACTTTCATGATCGGTTAGGGGAAATTGTGTAGTTTTTCTCTGTATCAATAGACATGGACAAATAAAAGAAGAACTGCTAAGAAAATCATGTTTTTTGAAAATTACTTTAATTGGGTTTGAATGACTGAAATTTGACGAATTTTTGGAAAAAATTGATTGGACAGTGTTGTTAAAGGAGGGTGGCGGTAAGGGGACATTATTTTTTGGGGAGATTTTGTAGTTTTCCGGTGTATAAAGCACTTAGCCGTTATTCGGGCGGAACAAAGTAAATCAACTTATTACAGTAGATGTCGGATATAAGAAACTCAAAAAAAGCCGGAGATTTCTTTCTTATATGCGTTTTTTCTTAAATGGAATTATCGAATATAAGAAAGTATAAGCTCGGTGTTTTTGATATTCTTTCTTTTATGCGATTTTTTCTTATATGAGATGTGCTTATATCCGATATCTACTGTAGTGGGAAATTTGAGTATTTTAGGAAAAATTAATGCGATTGAGTTGAATATAAGCCTTTGAGTTGAATATAAGCAGCAATAAAGAAAATGATTTTTCGATACAATTCAGAATCATTCACAGAATAAAAACCCTAATGGTTTCATGTGTTGGCATCAGAATGCCTACCACAATGGTGGTGGGGTATAAAAAGTTCGATAGATATTTTCACCGGTTCGAAATCAGTCATTTTTTTTCATCCCGTTTGCAACACTTTGAAAGATTCACCCAAGACACCATATATTCTTGATCCGAATAAAATTCAATGACGATTTGTTAGGTAAGGGTACCTCCCAAACTTCAGTATTTTGGGCGGCACGTTTTTCATCCGAATTGGTTGTAATTTGGTACTTTGAATTCGTTTTAGGTAGTAAACCTTCCCATCAAAAATTATCAATGTTCGCCCCTTTTTTAGAATAGCCCCCATATATCGGTACCTCCCAGATTTCGGTATTTTGAGGAGCTTGAGCACATTTTTCATCCGAATTGGCTGTAATTTGATATTTTAGGTTCTCATTGGGTGTCAAATTTCGCTACAAAAAATATCAATATTGGTCAACATTTTAGAGTAGCCACCATATAATGGTACCCTTTATTTGTCGATATTTTGAAGGACTTGGGTTCGTTTTTTAACCGAATTGGTTGTAATTTTGTATTTTGTGTACTCATCGAGTGCCAAATCTCACTACCAAAAATTATCAATATTAGTCAACTTTTTAAGATAGCCTCCATTTAAGGTAGCCCTCATTATTCGGTATGTTGGGGGCCTTGGCCACGTTTTTCAACCGAAGTGGCTGTAATTTGGTATTTTGGGTTCTAATTGGGTGTCAAATCTCACTACCAAAAATTATAAATATTGGTCAACATTTTAGGGTAGCCCCCATATAGCGGTACATCCTGAATGTCGTTATTTCTGGGAGTTTGGACACATTTTTCAACCGAAGTGGCTGTAATTTGATATTTTGAATTCTCATTGGGTAACTAATCGTCCTACCAAAAATTATTAATTTTGCTTCAATTTTTAGGATAAACACCATACATCGGAACCCCAAAATATCGATATATATGGGAGTTTGGAATCATTTACAAACCGATTCCGTTGTAATTTCGTATTTAGAGTTCTCAATAGATGTCAAATCTCACTAACAAAAATTATAAATATTGCACCACTTTTTACGATATCCCCCATATAATGGCACCCTTTATAATTCGGTATTTTGGGGACAATCGGCACGTTTTTCAACCGAATTGGCTGTAATTTGGTATTTTTAAATTTCATTAGTTGTCAAATCGTCCTATCAAAAATTATCAATATTGGTCGAGATTTTAGGGTAGCCCCCATATAAGAATACCTCTCATATTTCAGTATTTTGGGGGGCTTAGCCACGTTTTTCAACCGATTTCGCTGTAAGTTGGTATTTTGGGTACTCATTGGGTGAACAATTCCACAACCAAATATTATCAATATTGGTCTACATTTAAGAGTAGATATCATACCTCCCGAATTTCAATATTTTGCGGAGTTTGAACACAATTTTCATCCGAATTGGTTGTAATTTAGTATTTTGGGTTCTCATTGGGTGTCAAATTTCCCTACCAAAAATAATCAATAATGGACAATGTTTTAAGATATTCTCCATATAATGGTACCTCCATTTTTCGAGATTTTGGGGGGCTTGGGTACGTTTTTCATCCGAATTGGCTGTAATTTGGTATTTTGTTTTTAATTGGTTGTCAAATCTCCATTCCAAAAATAATAAACATTGGTTCACTTCTTAGGTGTCAAATTTTTCTACCAAAAATATACCATGGCATATCCCGCCATATATAGAAGTTCCGAACGAAATGTCCAACTCATGTTGGAAGGTATACAAATTTCTATACGACGTTTTTGAAGTAAAATTTGAAAGGGCGTCTAAAGGACTTTCGTCAACACTACAGAGGGTCATAACTGGCGACAAATGTTGTGTTCCAAATTTGATACATTAGTAATAAGTTCCAAAAAATAAATAAAATATTAAAAAAATGTGTATTTGGAGGGAGTCTTTAAGGACGGGCTGGAAGACGTCGTTATTGACCAGCTGATGGTTATCTTTATAGACCAGCTGAAGGTGGTCTTTATAGCCCAGCTGATGTTGGGCTAACTCCAAAAAAGATAATAACCTCCTTCAGCCCGTCTATAAAACTCACTTCAGAGGGTCATAAATGGTGTGTTCCAAATTTGATGTTGCCACAAGAGCTAAGTCAAAAAAATGTTTCCGTGGATTTTTTTTGGCTTGGATTTTAAAGAGAATTTGTTTTTTAAACCCTAAAATAGGGGTGGATTTTTAAGAGAATATTATTTTAAGCCCCTAAAAAATGCGTAAATTTTTTAAGAATTTTTTTAGCGATAATTTGTTAATCGAAATTTTTTCAGAATATTTTTTTAACCTTGATATTCAAACGTTCATTTTTTAAACTCCAAAACACGGATGTTTATTTGTTTTTTTTTTAATTTTATTTTTTTGTTTTATGTGTTGTTTTTGTTATTTATTTTTCTCTGTTTTTTTTTGTTTCTATTCTACACAAAACGAAAACATTAGGAATGTTTATATAAATATATAATAAAAAAATTAAATGAGAGTTTCTAGTTTCTAAAAAAAAAACAAAAGAAAAAAATTAATAATAAGCAGACCTAAAATAATGTTTAATTATTATTATGCCCAAAAAAACTATATATAAGAAGAAGACTTAAAAATTAAATAAATTTGTAATAAATTAAAAAAAAGAAAAGATAATTCAAATTCGAAAAGTTTGCTCTTTTAACGGCCAACTTATTCATTGTTTGTATTTTTTTTAAATTTGTGTGTTATTATAGTATAAGAAAGTGTGAGAGAGAGAGGGGTTTAACAGATGAAGAAGGGGGGGGGGGGGGAATGGGGGTTTGGGACTTTCTTAGGTTTATATGAGAGTCGTATATTTAGAAGTTGTTGAATGTGTTTTTGTTTTAAATATTAAATTGTTGTTTTTGTTTTCTTCTTCTGTTGTGTTTTTGTTTTTGCTCACATGCCTAACGTATATATTTGTTTTTTAATAATAATAATAGTAAATTGTTGTAATACATACATATATTTTAGAATAAATATAGCCTAACTTTTAAGTATAAAAACTTAAATTTAAATTAAATTAGATCAAGTTTTTGTTGTTTTGTTGTTGTTTATAATAATAAGAAATTGGAAAAATTGAAAATCAAAAAAAAGAAAATCATTGATAAAACAAAAATTGATTTCTTCAAACAAAAAAATATATTAAAGTTTTATAATAATAATAAGTAGTCCTTATGATTTCAAACACAAAACTTGCAATAACAAAAAAAATAATAATTCAATACGAAAACAAATAAATCCATTAAATAATTCAATGGGGAAATTAAAGGGGTTTAATATTTTGGTTTAATTTTATTTGAATATACATAAATAATTTCCAAATCATTTGGTTGTTTTTGTTTTTTTTTTTCGAAAATATATAATGTGCGTTAAAGCGTAATTTAAAGTCAATCGTTCGGGTTTTGAAGGATACAAAAATTAAACGAAATATAATTACAAAAAATTGGGAATTTCCTTCATCATCATTATTTCCCCATAGCTGTGAATAATGGAATTCAATCTGCGGATTTTTTGGTTTTGGTTTTCAAATACGAAACAAACAAAAAATATAGTATGTATATATAAACATTTATAGCGATAAGATTGAAATCTTTATAGTCATGTGATTTAAATGTTTTCGTTTTTTAGCTTCAATATTTGTTTTTGTTTTTTCAATTTCTTTTTTGGGATTTAGACACTTAACAATGTACTGCTTGTAAACAAATAAACAAACAAAAAATTATTAACATATTTTTCCACACTACAAATACAATACAATTACACATTGTGGTTGTTGTTATTTTACATTTAACATTTAAACAAAAAAAATCAAGACCTTGGAAAACATGGAATTAAAAAAAAATGCAAAATTTTTTCCTTCAGTTTACAATTTTTCCAGCAATAGGAAATAATTTGTTTTTGTTTTTTTTCAACTCCTTTTTTTAATGCTAACCCATAGTCCGAAAAACCAATTAATCATATTTCTTTTGTTCTTTTGTTTCTCTTCTTATGCTATGGCTTAATATTCTATTCTCCAATGTTGTTGGTTTCTTTTTTTTTTGTTCTTCCTTTTGATGTCCTTTTATGCATAGCTACAGATGAGGCTGCTGAAACTGTTCACTTCCACACGGGCGACAGGTCCAAGGTTAGATTCTTAATTGCCCGATTACGTGCCGACGAGCGTTTCTGTTTGGCCGATCTTGAAATTTCCATTACCAAGCCGCGACAATCATTACACACCGGCACCAACTCACCGCGTACATTATCTTTTTGGTCTTGACTCAATTGGGTACCGGACGATGACAGGGTATAGGCCCGTGAGAATTTGCTTCTGGAAAAAATTTTAACCAAAAAAAAAAAATTATTAATAAATTATTAAAAATTAATAAATTCGAAAAACTATTTTAAAAAATTGTTGACTAGGAGAGGATCTTTATAGACGAGTTAAAAAAGTATTTATAGGCCAGCTGATGATGGTCTTTATCGATCAGCTGAAGGTGGTATTTTTAGAATAGATGTAGATGGTCTTTATCGAAGAGCTGATGCTGGTCTTTATAGACCAGCTGAAGGTGGTCTTAATAGACCAACTGATGGTGGTCTTTATAGACCAGCTGATGGTGGTGTTTATAGACCAGCTGATGGTGATCTTCTTAGAAGAGGTGATCTGCTGATAGCGGCCATTATAGACCAGCTGATGGTGGTCTTTTTAGACCAGCAGTAGATGGTCTTTATCGAACAGCTGATGCTGGTCTTTATAGTCCAGCTGAAGGTGGTCTTAATAGACCAACTGATGGTGGTCTTTACCGACCAACTGATGACGGTCTGTATCGACCAGCTGATGGTGGTATACTTTGAGCAGTTGAATGTGGTATTTATACACCAGCTAAAGGTGGTCTTTATAGACCAGCTAAAGGTCGTCTTTACACACCAGCTAAAGGTGGTCTTTATAGACCAGCTGATAGTGGTCTTCGTAGACCAGCCGATTTTTGTTTTTATAGATCACCTGATGGTGGTCCTCTTTGAGAAACTGATGGTGGTCTTTTTTGACCACCTCCTCAGTGAACTGAGAAATTTTTTTCTATAGTGAACTGAGGAATTTTTTTCTATAGAAAAAAGCCTCCTCAGTGATCTGAGGAATTTTTTTCTATAAAAAAATCTCCTCAGTGAACTGAGGATTTTTTTCTATAGAAAAAAGTCTCCTCAGTGAAATGAGGATTTTTTTTCTATAGAATTTTTTTTTCTATAGAAAAAAACCTCCTCAGTGAACTGAGGAATTTTTTTTCTATAGAAAAAAGCCTCCTCAGTGATCTGAGGAATTTTTTTCTATAGAAAAAAGCCTCCTCAGTGATCTGAGGATCACTGTAGAAAAAAACCTCCTCAGTGAACTGAGGAATTTTTTTCTATAAAAAAAAATCTCCTCAGTGAACTGAGGATTTTTTTCTATAGAAAAAAGTCTCCTCAGTGAAATGAGGAATTTTTTTCTATAGAAAAAAACCTCCTCAGTGAAATGAGGAATTTTTTCTACAGAAAAAAACCTCCTCAGTGAACTGAGGAATTTTTTTCTATAGAAAAAAGTCACCTCAGTGAACTGAGGAATTTTTTTCTATAGAAAAAAGTCACCTCAGTGAACTGAGGAATTTTTTTCTATAGAAAAAAGTCACTTCAGTGAACTGAGGAATTTTTTTCTATAGAAAAAAGTCACTTCAGTGAACTGAGGAATTTTTTTTGTATAGAAAAAGCCTCTCGGTGTACTGATGAATTTTTTCTATAGAGAAAGCCTCTTCAGTGAACTGAGAAATTTTTTCTATAGAAAAGAGATTCCTTAATGGACTGAGGATTTTTTTACAGAGTACTAAGAAGTTTCTTCTATTTCCCATCTCTCAATAATTTTCTAATTTCTTATCTATCCACTTACTTCCGATCCAATGTACTGCTATTCGAATGCGGTCTTGATGCTGGACTATGTACCGGCAAACTGCGTGGCCCCTCCATGCTGCGTGACATTATGCTAAAATGTCGATTATTTGTGGCCTGATTCTCTTTGCCGCTATACTGGATACCATTGGCAATGGCCATGGAAGCATAATGATGTTGGGGGTGATATGATTGCTGATGCGGATGATGAGGCTGTTGTTGCTGGTGATGATAATAGTGAGTGCCAGCTGTATACGATGTGGTCATTGTCGACGATGTATCGTGTATAGCCTCAACTGCTTGACCTGCAGCAGCAGCAACAATTTCAACACCGGAACCACTACCGCCGGCCATAATACCGGGTGTGCTCATATTTGATCTTTGGTGTTTGGGTGATGATGGTGCACTGCCCACAGAGTTGCGTGCCTAAGGGAAGGGAATTTCAAAGAAATGTTAATGGAGATTTGTATTATAGGGGTTTCGTATAACTTACCTTACGCTGAGCCTCGGAACCCATTAGCTTCTCAATCAGAGACTTGGGAAATTGTTCATCCAAAATATTACCCGTCGACGAGGAATGGGCATAGCGAGCATGATGTGATGGTGAGGGTGTGCTCGAACCAGCGGGACTTGACAGCAGTGAGGGTGAGATTAGCACAAGTGGAACATTGCGAAAATGTTCGGAAGGTATGCGCATCTGTATTTCAAAAAAAAAAAAAAAAAAAAAAAAATTATCGGATTAAGGGAATTGAAGCCATTGTAGGGGGCAAGGGGGACTTACTTTGGTATAACATTTGGAACAAACGGTACGCTGGCATATTTTACACTGAATACCCCAGGGACCGAATATCGAGAATCTGGTACGCAAACATAGAAAGCAGATTTTTCGCTTTTCGACATCCTCCTTGACACGTATACCAACCGGAAGGCCCTCCAATTCGGCCTTCGTCATAACCGAACGAATGTGGACAATCTCCTCCAGGGTTAATGAGAGGCGATCGTCACCACGTTCATTCCAGGTTTTCTCATCCATAAAGGATTTGTTCCACGGGCCTAACGAGGATGACGAACGACTATCGCTGCAATTATCCTCCTCCGACTCCTGCTTCTGCTCGTGTGCGCTGGGGCTTTGGGATCTCTTTAGCTGCTGTTGTTGCTGTAGATACTCTTGCTGTTGATTGTATTCATTGTGTAGCTGTAAAAATGGTTGAATTCGGGATTAGTTTGGCTTTTTGAAAAATAAATTCAGGGATCTCACCTGCTTGGCTGTGCTCACACTGTCACCAACAGTTGTGTTATGTACATCGGACTGCCTGGATCCGGGCCTTGATGTCGGCATTGAATGCGTCTCATCCAAATTACTTTGACATCCAACAATGGTGTGTCGTCGCTGTGATGCCCGTCGTGATTCACACTGGGTGGCCAGATCATAGGCTATAATGGCAAGGATGGAAACAAATTGTGTGTACTTTTAGTGACATGTTTTGTTGTTGTTGTAATTTTTTCTTGTGGTGCACAATATGAAGGTATGTTTTTTTTTAAATGTAAACATGTTGAATATTGGAATTTTTTAATGTATATGCTGTGGATGCGGTTTTCGGAAAAAGACTCCCCGGGATTTTTTCTATAGAAAAAAGACTCCTCAGAGTACATAGGAATTTTTGTCTATAAAAAAGGACTCCTCATAGTACTGAGGAATTTTTTCCTATAGAAAAAAGGCTCCTCAGTGGTCTGAGGAATTTTTTTCTATAGAAAAAAGGCTCCTCATTGGTCTGAGAAATTTTTTTCTATAGAAAAAAGACTCCTCTAAGGGCTGAGGAATTTTTTTTTCTATAAAAAAGACTCCTCAAAGTACTGAGTATTTTTTTTTCTATTGAAAAAAGACTCCTCAGAGTACTGAGGAATTTCTTTCTATAGAAAAAAGACACCTCAGTGTACTGAGGAATTTTTTTCTATAGAAAAAAGATACCTCAGTGTACTGAGGATTTTTTTCTATAGAAAAAAAATACCTCAGTGTACTGAGGATTTTTTTTTCTATAGAAAAAGACACCTCAGTGTACTGAGGAATTTTTTTCTATAGAAAAAAGACACCTCAGTGTACTGAGGAATTTTTTTCTATAGAAAAAAGACACCTCAGTGTACTGAGGAATTTTTTTCTATAGAAAAAAGACACCTTAGTGTTCTGAGGAATTTTTTTCTATAGAAAAAAAGACACCTCAGTGTACTGAGGAATTTTTTTCTATAGAAAAAAGACACCTCAGTGTACTGAGGAATTTTTTCTATAGAAAAAAGACACCTCAGTGTACTGAGGAATTTTTTCTATAGAAAAAAGACACTTCAGTGTACTGAGGAATTTTTTTCTGTAGAAAAAAGACACCTCAGTGTACTGAGGAATTTTTTTCTATAGAAAAAAGACACCTCAGTGTACTGAGGAATTTTTTTCTATAGAAAAAAGACACCTCAGTGTACAAAAATAGCCTCAGTGCGATGAGGAGTCTTTCCTCAGTTTCTACCGAAAAAAAATTCCTCAGATCACTGAGGACTCCTCATCGGACTGAGGAAAAAATTCCTCTTTTTTTCTATAGGAAAAAAAATCCTCAGTCCGCTGAGGAGCCTTTTTATAGAAAAAATTCCTCAGTCCGTTGAATAGCCGTTTTTCTATAGAAAAAAATCTTTAGACGCTGAGGAGTTTTTCTCTACAAAAAATTCCTTAGCCCCTGTGAAATTTTTTCTTTAGAAAGAATTTCTAAAATATGTAACAAAGAAGCACATGTATGCATATGTTTTTGTGTTAGTTAACATGCGACATAGAATTGAGGTTATGTTGAATCGAAGCAATAAATCTGAGATCCTTTGTTAGTTAGCCAGCCACATTAGTATGCAAAAAATGTTCAAATATTTACAAGGCTTGGTTTTAAATAAAAAAAAAATGAAAATAAATATACAAACAAAAATTTGAAAAAATAGAGAGTACGAAAAAAAAAACATTTAAACAAAGAAGGACAATGACCAAGGCAAACACAAATAAATTAGGCAAGGCGATGACGATGACCTAAAATGTCCACCCAAAAACAAAACAAAAAAAACTCGTGAAATATAGAAAAAAATGCACAAAGGATTGTGAATATATACAGTTGAATATATATATATATATATATATATATATATATATGAATGTGTATGTGTGCGAAAAGTTGATTCGATTTTCGGCTAGAAAATGAAAGTTCCAAAAAAGAAAGAAAGAAATGAAAGGAAAAACCATTGACAGAAGTGTTATATGTGTTGTATGTATGTGTGCGAGCGAGTGAGTGTGAAAGGTAAATAGTCTATCGTAAGTATATGTAGGTATGTAGAGGAGGGGGGACAACAAAAGCAAGCATATGAACATTTCTTTTAGGTTCTGAGTTTGGAGTTTGTCTGCAAATCGTATGACAAGACAGGAATGACAGCAGCTTTAGCGCCGATTGATGTGATAGTGAATTTAGTTTTATTTCCAAGAGATATGTAGGTATGTATAGAATGTTTTAGAAATCGCTATATGGGTGATTTCAAAAAACAACAGCAATTTACAAAGTCAAAGATCCGTCAAAAAATACTCTATAAATTCGAAGTTCCCCAACTCGTCTACAAAGACCCATTCATGATTTTTTACGTGTTGTGCTTCATGGCGTATGTCTGTTGACGTTAGTTATACGCCAATGTAGATTTTTAAAATTCCATAACTCCCTTCAGCTCGCCCATAAAATCTCGCTTCTGTTCGACTATAATGAATTCCATATGCTAGTCAATAAAGACTTCCAATAGTTCGTCTATAATCATTCCATTCTCCTTGTCTTTAGTTCGCCTATAAAGACCTCATATGAAAAACGCTCCCTAAATCGTCGAAAATACTCCTGTTGCTTCCCTATGAAGGTCTGTTTCAGTTCGATATCCGGTACTCTGAGAGGTATTTTTTCTATAGGAAAAAAATTTTCAGCTCGGTGGGGAGTACTTTTTTTATAGAAAAAAAAATCTTCTGCTCTATGAGGAGTCTATAGAAAAAATACTTCAGAAGATTTTTTTCTAAAGAAATATTTTTCTATAGACAAATTCTTTCGAGCTCTTTCGTCTGCTCCTTTATAAAGTCCTCCTCATATGAAAGACACCCTCCAATATTCTCCACTAGGCATGACTGTAAATATTTACAACAAATTCCTCCAACTAATCTATAGTCTCCCTCAGCTCGTCTATAAAAACTCAATTCAGTTTGTCTATAAAGACCTATAACTGCTCGTCTATACAGCTACTCTTCAGTTCGTCTATAAAGACTCCTTTCTGGTCTTCCTTTCAGCTGGCGTATAAATACCCCCTCAGCTCGTTTATAAAGTCTCCTTTCAATCGAAAAGAACCGCTTCAGCTCGTCTGAAAAGACTCCCTTCATCGCATTGCAAACGAAGGACATTGTAGCGTACGACTACTGTTACTAATTATACGCCACCAGGATCCATTGTAGATTTGTAAAATTCTATTTCATGCATAACGAAACACTTCCTTCGTCAATAATGAAGGAGAAAAGGTTTGGTTTATTTCATTTCACCTATGAAGGATGCCTTCAGAACCTCTGTAAACATTCCCTTTAGTTGTATATAAAAAATCCCTCCAACTCCTCTAAAAAAGACCACCTTTCACTTCCTCCCTTTGTCTATAAAAAAACTCCCTATAAAAGATTCCCTACCTACCTGTTTTTGTCCGAAGGCCATCACGAGGTGTGTGACTGTTGCCACTAATTATACGCTACCAGGACTATGAACTTTTGAAGTTCTCTGAAGACATGCTTCGTGCTTTTCTGTAAAGAAGTCGTTGAGCATGCCAGATGTCCGTTTAAGCTGTTTATTTTCATCCGTAGACCTTTATACAAAATTTTGAAGATATCTATAAAGACTCCAATTGGCATCTATTCTAGAAAAGCCATCTAGACCACCTATGAAGACTCCCTCGATCGGGTCTATGAAAACCTCAGTTCAATGTAGAGTTTCAAATTCTATACAGAATCCCTTTTGATTGCTTATAAGCAAGCCTTCTTGCTCGCCTATAAAGACTACTTTTAGTCAGTATTTCCTGCTTTTGTGTCCGCAGTTCTCAATGGCGTATGACTATTGCCACTACTTATATGACACCATGATACAATGCAGAATTTTAAATTCCTATCGAGACACACTTCAGTTTGTCTACAAAACAAATACCTCTCTATAAACACTCCTTTCGGGCTGACTTTCCAGACTTTTTGCCCATAGGTCTTCATGGCGTATGACTGTTGCCCCTACTTATACGTCACCATGTCCCAATGTAGAATTTTAAATTTCTATAAAGACACACTTCTGTTTGTCTATAAAACCACTTCGTGCTTGCCAATATACATTCCATTTAGGTTCACTTTCCTGGCTTTTTGCTCATAGGCCTTCATGTCGTATGATACCGCCGCTAATAGTCAATGAAGACTTCCTGTATCTCGTCTAGAAAACTTCACCTCATCACTCAATTTTTACGCTGACATCCCAGCCAGTTTGTCAGTAAGTCTTCATGGCGTATGAAGACTTACATGCCCCTACTTATACGCCACCATGCCCTAATGTAGAATTTTAAATTTCTATAAAGGCACACTTCTGCTTATCTATAAAAAACAATTTAGAGCCAATCTCCATAGACTTTCCAGGATTTTTGTCCGTCGTTTGGAAAACTCAAAACACCTCGTTTATGAAGATTCAAGCCCAATATTGAATTGTAAAGTTCTATAAAGACCCGCTGTGATTTTTCTATAAACACAACTTCGTATTCGCCTTTATAAACTACTTTTAAACAGTATTTCCTGTCTTTTATCCGTAGGTCTCCATGGCGTATTATACGCCACCATGTCCCAATATATATATTTTAGAGTTCTATAAAGAATCACTTCCGGTGGTCTAGGATGGTCTATGTAGATTTCATGAAATTGATTTAGAAAAACTGCACTTAGATCCTCTATAAAAAACCGCTCTAACTCGTCTTAAGACACTCCCTCCTTTAAGACCCCCTCCTGTGTTTCTTATGTCAATAGGTCACCATGGCGTATAACTACTGACGTTAGCTATACGCCATCTGTGACTAAAAGGAAATTTGTTTTGAATTGTTTTTTTTTTTGTTTTTTGGAAATCACCCATATATTTGATTTATGAATGACGAATTTTTAGACTTTTATGAGTAGAAATAGTGAAAGAGAAATTAATTTCATATATTTAAAAAAAATATTTACATTCCAAGGCGTTGTCAAAGAATTTATGATATTCATCCTCAGTATAGGGATCATCATCACCATCATCAACATCATTTTCAACGACGACATCTTCGGGTTTGGCTAGAGAAATTCCCCCAAAGAAATAAGTTTGTCATCACCACACATCACAACACACAAGGGGAGAGAGAGAATTGAGCAGGGATTTGGTTTTTTTTTTTCAAAATTATTTTTTTTGTTTATTTTTTTGTTGCAAATCAAAGTGAAGATTTCAAAAGAATAAACTCTACTGTTTAGCCAAGTTATAATTTATTTAATTTGAATTAAATTTTAAAATTTTTTTGTTGAATGGAAAATTTACAAATGAGGATTTTTTTTTTAATTTTTGATACTAAGAGCAAAACTACAACTAATAAAAATAATTATTATTTTTTTGTTTAAATATTTATGTATATCTAGTATTTAATTACAACCAATATTTGTTAGATTTCGAGTTGAAAATTATTTTTTTAATTTTTGTTTTAAGGAAACCACTTCAATTTAGTGTTGATGTTAGTGTTTTTTTGGGGGTTTTGAGGTCAATAAGGCTTCAGTGTGTGTATTTTTATGTGTGGGTATTGGTGTGTGTGTTTGGTTTTTTACGGAGCAAGAAAAAAGTGTTTCCGTTGACCAATAAATTATGGCAGAACAGTTTTTTTCCACCGATAAAGAATAACAACAAAAAATTTACATTTACAAAACTAAACGACTAGTCTTAACGGATTTTTTTTCAATTTTTTTTTTTGTTCAAAAAGCTTTTTTTGGTATTTCATATTTTAGTTTTTTTAATAATAACTAACAATTAGTTTAGGCTCAAAATAAAAATATATTAGGAATTGTAGTAGTAGTAGGAATCTAAGTTTTGGCTTTTAACGAAAACAACAACATCTAACCCAAAACAACAACAAGATTTTTTTAAGCAATAACCACAATTAATAATTTAAATACCTTAAAGAAAAAAAGAAGAAAATTAAATTATAAAAAAAAAAATAAAATTAAATTAAAAAAATTGCATAAATAACAACAACAATAAGAAAAATAAATACAAATAATATATTTAAAAAAAAAAAACTAAAGAAATTTTGAAAATGCCAACAAAACGCCAGTTAATAGATTAGGGCAACCATTTCAAGAATATATAGTACAGTTATTAATTGTTATGAAAAAAATATTATTTGTATAAAAAAAATTAATAATAGCAATCTACAGGGTTAAGAGGGTGGTATGATAATTTTCGGAAAGAAGGACTCCCTTAAGATTCCTATTTTATAACACAAAACTCCGTCCAGTTTGCTGTCTTGCCTTTCTTTTTGTCCATAGGACTTCTCTATAAACACACTATTCTGCTTTTTTATGAAGACTTCCTTCACCTCGTCCGGAAAAATTAAACTATTTGTTTATGAAGACTCCAGTCCAATATTGAATTTTAATGTTCTATAAAGACACGCTATGATTTTTCTATAAACACAACTTCGTGTTCGCCTTTATAAAATACTTTTAAACAGTCTTTCCTGTCTTTTATCCGTAGGTCTACATGGCGTATGAGTGTTGCCGCTAATTATACGCCACCATGACCCAATTGAGAATTTTAGAGTTCTATAAAGAATCGCTTCCGCTGGTCTAGGATGGTGCTCGCCTGTGCAGATTCCATGAAACCCGCCCAGGAAAACTGCACCTAGCTCATCTATTAAAAACCACTCCTACATGTCTAAAGAGACTCATTTTGTCTGTGTTTCCTACGTTTTTTTGTCAATAGGTCACCATGGCGTATAACTACCATCAGTAGTCACCTGCGACTAAAGGGAAATTTCTTTTGAATCGTATTTTTTTTGGAAATCACCTATATATCAGATTTATGAATACGAATTTTGGGACTTTTATGAGTAGAAATAGGACTTCATGGTGTATGACTATTGTCGTCAATTATACGCCACCATCAGCCAATGCTAAATTTTAACCTTCGATTCCGTCTAGCTTCTGTTTGCCTATAAGAAGAGTTTCCTACCCATGAAAACTCCCTTTGACTCGTTTATGAAAACTTCATCACACCTCATACTATTTAGACTGCCTTTCCTGCCTGTTTGTCCGCAGGCCTTCAGGGCGTATGACTGATGTCCCTACATAAACGCCACGGTAACCTAATGTAGAATTTTAAATTTCTATAAAGACACACTTCTCTTTTTGTCTATAAAAACAACTTCTTGTTTGTCTATAAACACTCCACTTAGGCTGGTTTTCCTGGCTTTTTGTCCACAGGTCTTCATGGCGTGTGACTGTTAAATTTCGATAAAGTCACACTTCTCTTTGTCTATAAAAAATTCTTGTCCGTCTATAAACACTCCATTTAGGCTGACATTCTTGGCTTTTTGTCCATAGGTCTTCATGGTGTATGATTATTGCCGCCAATTATACGTCACCATGAGCCAATTCAAAAATTGAAGTTTCTATTAAGACTTGCTTCTGTTTGTCATGAAAAGTCCCTTCAACTCGTTCATGAAAACTTAATAACATCTCTTAATTTTTAGACTGCCTTTCCTGCGAATTTTTCTATAGGTCTTCAGGGCGTATGACTGTTGTCCCTACTTATACGTCACTATGACCTAATGTAGAATTTTAAATTTCTATAAAGACACACTTCTCTTTTTGTCTGTAAAAAACAATTTCTTGTCTGTCTTTCTTGGCTTTTTGCCCATAGGTCTTCATGGCGTATGACTATTGCCGCCAATTATACGCCACCATGAATCAAATTAGAATTTTAGGCTACTATTACGACTTGCTTCTGCCTATAAAATCACCTTTCTGCACGCCAATGAAATCTCGATTCAATTCGTTTATGAGAACTTCATCACAACTCTTACTTTTTAGACTGTCTGTCCTGCGAATTTTTCTGTAGGTCTTCAGGGCGTATGCGTTTCGTTCATAATTATACGTCACCATGGCTTAATGTAGAATTTTAAATATGTCTATAAAGTAAAACAACTTCTTGTCCTTCTATTGATACTCCTTTTAGACCGACTTTCCTGGCTTTTTGCTCATAGGTGTTCATGGCGTATGTCTGTTGGCACTACGTATACGCCACCTAATGTAGAATTTTAAATTTTCTGTAGGTCTTTTGTACGTTAACGCGACTTAATGCAGAGTTTTATAAGTGAATTGTTCTCTTCACAGGTGCTGGATTTTTTTAAAAATTATTTTAAGGACCTATACAAGGCGCGTATTTTTTAAAAAATATGTTTTAGGGATCTTTAGAGGGCATGGATTCTTTGAATAAAATTTTTTTACGGATCTTCAAAAGGCGTGAATGTTTTAAAAAATAGTTTTTAACGGCTTGAATGTTTAAAAAAATATGTTTAGGGTTCTATACAAGGCGTGGACCTGATTTAATCTTCTGTGCTTCATGGCGAATGACTGTTGACGTTAATTATACGTCACCATGGACTAATGAAGATTGTTAAAATTTATAAAATTTTTCATTCGGTCCTACCTAATGAAAAATTCCCTCCCTTCTATTAAATATTCTTCAACCTGAATATATATTTTTCCAAAGAATTATCATACCACCCTTTTAGATATCTACTGTAATTCTAAATATTTGTTTTTATGTTTTTTTCGGTTAACTACTTACTTGTACGCCGTGTAACACGTGTTGTCAGTGTTGTGGGCACTTGTTGTGTGGTCGTATTGCTGTTGTTGCTGGATGTTCCTGTTGCTGTCGCACCTTTGCCCGCTACAGCTGAGGTGGAGGTGGCATCGCTCATCATATAGCCACCAATGGGATAGGGTGGCATTTTGGGCTGTGAACAAACACCTATGCTATGATTGAGCTGATGTCCTCCGCCACCACCGACCATTGTCGAGGATGATGATGTTGTGGAGGCCAATGAGGTCTCATCGAAACATGGATCGTCATCCTGGAAAAACATTGAGAACATGGAAAAAAGAAAAAAATGAATAACAATAAAATGCAAATTTTCATGGGAAAGCGTATGGAAAAATACAAACACAAAGAAAATATGGCATAGATGAAAATGTTCATGGGATGTGTGGGAATGGGGAAGAGGACAAGGTCAGACAAATGAGATTTTTTTATCGCTGTTATACACAACTTTGTTTTGAAGAAAATTCCGTCCATATGAATATTCGACTTCTATATAACTTCAATTGCATTATGTTCCGCCACTGTAATATTGAAAAAATTGAGTCCTTATTTCCCCCCAGAACATTTTATTTTGACTTAATTTGTTGACATTACGTGAGTGGGATTTACAAACATATGGCAAGCTTGATCTTCATGACGTATGATTATTGCCGCCAATTATACGCCACCATGAATCAATGTAGAATTTTAAGTTTCTATTAGGATTTGGATCTGTTTGCCTAGCTCGTCAATGACTACCTTACCTGTCTGTTTGTCCGTAGGTCTTCAGGGCGTATGACTGATGTCCCTACTTATACGCCACCATGACCAAAGGTAGAATTTTAAATGTCTATAAAGACACACTTCTCGTTTTGTCTACAAAAAACTTCTTGTCCGTCTATAATCACTCCACTTAGGCTGAAATTTCTGTCCATATGAATATTCGACTTCTGTATAACTTCAATTCCATCATGTTCCGTCATAACCAGGTACCACTGTAATATTGAAAAACTTGAGTCCTTATTTCCTCCCCCTTTAACTTTGTATTTTGACGTAATTTGTTGGTAGTACGTGAGTGGGATTTACAAACATATGGCAAGCTTGGTGCGTGCAAAACTGCTCAGATGAGTTAGGCAGGTGGGTGGTTGTCTATGTGGTAGGGTCTGTTGAATGTATTTTTATTTATTTTTTTACTTCCAAAGATTTGGGATTTATGTTCATTTGTCTATCCGAGAAATGTCAATTGCCAGTGGCTGACTGACTGGGTCTATATGGCTTTCAATTCGTTTTAACCTAGAACTGTCCAATGACGTCAATTGTTGACGGCCATCCGAAGCGAAGGATGTTGGATCATCAAAAAATAAATAGAACAACCAATCATTGATGGAAAATTACCATACCATAGGGACCTAGGAGGGATAATTTCGTTTTTAATTACACAAAAAGGAGAGGCGAACATTGAGAACGTCAGGTTGAACCAGTATGGACTGGTTTAACTGTATTTATTTTACTTACACCCACATAACCATTCAAATACATAAATATATGTGTGTGTGTTTTTTTCCATTATAGGAACTGTGCTAGTTTGTCTTTCGAACATTTTTTGCAATTTTATCCCATCCCTTAGCACCTTAATTACCTCCGGACACTATGGGGTCATCATTACTACCTTCTTTCTGCTCACCTTTTTGCAATCACAGAATAAAAGCTGCGTGCAATAATTTGATATACCACCACGGAGGAAGAGGTGGTTGGAGGAGTTGAGTGGATTTAAAAACCACAACAGAGACACAGGTTAAATTTTCTATGGCAGACAATTTTTATGACTTGTAATTCAATTATTTGTTGTTGTTTTTTTCTTGTAATTCAATATGGCTAGAAATAATCAGTGATATGGTGGAGTAATGTAGTTCTCATGTGGTCACATATACGGTCAGTCACTTAATTATGATAGCGAACAATGGAGGAAATAATATTAAAGGAAAAAAATAAATATTTAAAGTATTCACAGCAGGGCAGATTTTAAAAATATATATTTTTATTCAAGGTGTGGATTAAAAAAAATATATATTCAGGAGCCATGTCCAAATATGGATTTTTTAACCCATTTAAAGGAATTCCTAAGCTCCAAACTTAATTTTTGTTAACTAAACATATTGTAGGGACTCCTTCCATCTGGACTATAGTGATTCCCTCTTGGTATGATAATTTTTGGAAAAAATACTCTTTTAAGACTCCTATTTCATAACCCAAAAATCCGGCCAGTTTGCTGTCTTGCCTTCGTTTTGTCTGTAGGACTTCATGGCGTATGACTATTGCCGCCAATTATACGCCACCATGAACTAATGCAAAAATTTAAGCTTCGATTAAGACTTGCTTCAATTTGCCTATTGTTCAAAGTACTTTGAACAGAATTTTGTATTACAGAAGATTTGATCGTTGGGGTGTTTTAAGATAAGAGTCTAAAATCCCACATGCAACGCTGATAAGACAGTTGTTGTTGGTGTTGAGATTTTATGACGCACACTATGGGAAAACTTTCCACAGATCAAATTCTATTATTAGAACAAATAGTTTATTGATAAGTATTTTGTGTTTGAGATTAGGCTAGGCTAGAACGGCCGGGGGCACCGTGCCTGTCTTCCAGGCGTATGAATGTTGTCCCTATTTATACGGCACCATGACCTAATGTAGAATTTTAAATTTCGATAAAGCCACACTTCTCTTTGTCTACAAAAAAACCTATTGTCCATCTATAAATACTCCTTTTAGACTTTCCTGTAATTTTGTTCCTAGGTGTTCATGGCGTATGAGTGTTGAACCTACTTATACGCCACCATAACCTAATGTAGAAAATTTAAATTTTCTGTAGGTCTTCTGTACGTCAACGCGACTTAATGTAGAGTTTTATAAGAGCATTTTTCTAGTTCTTCACAGGTGCTGGATTTTATACTCTTCACATTGGGAAAAATCGGTTCAGATTTAGATATAGCTCTCATATATATTTTCGTCCGATTTAATTTAAATGGTGTACCAAAGACCCTAAATGTATTTCGATTTGTACGAAATTTGGCATAGCGTAATCAATTAGGTCTAGAATGATGTGTGTTAAGTTTTTTGAAAATCGGCCCAGATTTACATATAGCTCCCATATATATTTTCGTCCGATTTAATGTAAATGGTGTACTAAAGTCCCTATATATCTTTCGATTTACACGAAATTTGGCATAGCGTACTAAATTAAGTCTAGAATGATGTGTGCAAAGTTTCGTGAAAATCGGTTCAGATTTAGGTATAGCTCCCATATATATTCTCATCCGATTTTAGGTAATTGGTGCACCACAGTCTCTGAAAATCATTCGATTTACACGAAATTTGTCATAGCGTACTGAATTAAGGCTAGAATAACTTGTGAAAAGTTTCGTGAGAATCGGTTCAGATTTAGATATAGCTCCCATATATATTTTCGTCCGATTTTATGTAATTGGTTCACCAAAGTCCCCATATATCTTTCGATTTGCACGAATTTTGGTATAGGGTACTGAATTAAGTCTAAAATGATGTTGCTAATCTTCGTGAAAAGATTCATAGCTAGGCCGATTGACACAACGTACTGAAGTAATATAAATTAGTCTCTGGCAATTTTCCCTGAAATCGGTTCAGATATAGATATGTAACAAAAACGCGTCGTCTGCTAGGATACGTATGTACAATATACCCAAAGTGGTGAAGGGTATAATATAGTCGGCCCATTCGAACTTTACTACTTTCCTTACTGGTTTCAATTGAATTTCCCGTTGTTATTTGAATATCTTCCCCCAATCGTAATTTATTAATGTTATTCCCATTTCGTGTAAAAATATTTTTACATCTGTAACTTGGAATTTCCACCGCAAATGAAATGAAATCGAAATTTCAGACATTCCCTATTTTTTTTTTTTCAATTCACTTTCCATGGCATCTCGTCTTGCAACCAATCATCTAGACAGTGGTAACCACATTAACATTACCCACAATGTTGCATCATGATAAAAAAGGGGGCACAATAACAATGACAACAAGCAAGCAAAATGCAACAATGAATCCCAATGATTCGATAATTTCAAGACCCTCCCCCGCCCCCCTACATGCGGCAAATAATAAATGGATGGATGTGTGATTACAATTCACACATCACCCAGCTTGGCTGGTTACTGCCACCCATCCATTCATTGTTGTTATTATGTCAACACAAATGTCATTATATGTCATTATAAGATAGATGGATGATATACCCATTCCTCAACATACCTCAATCAATGAGAAATCCACTTTGATGATACGCTGCTTGGAACGCGGTGTTGTATGGATTTCATTCGACTCCTGCAGTTGCTTCAATGAATCCCGCAATTTATATTGGTGCAGCTGTTGCTGCTGGGATGAGACCGGCGGTGCGCCTGCTGCAGCTGCTGGTGATGCTGATGATGATGTTATTGTGGTAGAAGTAGGAAGCACTGGAATGAAGAAGACAGAAAAAATACCAAAGAGTTAGTCACAAGATGGGGCAATGCAACAAATTAATGTGATGCATAAACAATGTAATCAGAGGCGAAAATGTTGCACAAAAAATGAAGAAGAAGAAAATGTAGATTAAGTTGTAAAATCAAATAAAAAGTATTATATCACCCAAGCTGACATCGCTGCAATGCATCTGGAAGATGGCAAAATGCGACAGCTAGGGATTGATGGGAAAAAAGTATTGGGGGAATTGTTTTCTTTACACTCAAAAAAAAACTCATATTTTTTAAAAATGTAGACCCTTAAAAATCTAGGCCTTGTCTAGACTCTTGAAAAAATATCCTTTAAAAATCGACAACTTAAGGTGATCTTTAAAACGCCTTGTGTAGACCCTTAAAAAATCCAGACCTTGTCTAGACTCTTGAAAAAATATTCTTTAAAAAATCCACGCCTTGTGTAGACCCTCTAAAAATACAGGCCCTTGGAAAATATTCTTTAAAAAATCCACGCCTTGTGTAGACCCTCTAAAAATACAGGCCCTTGAAAAAATATTCTTTAAAAAATCCACGCCTTGTGTAGACCCTCTAAAAATACAGGACCTTGAAAAAATATTCTTTAAAAAATCCACGCCTTGTGTAGACCCTCTAAAAATACAGGCCCTTGAAAAAATATTCTTTAAAAAATCCACGCCTTGTGTAGACCCTCTAAAAATACAGGCCCTTGGAAAATATTCTTTAAAAAATCCACGCCTTGTGTAGACCCTCTAAAAATACAGGCCCTTGAAAAAATATTCTTTAAAAAATCCACGCCTTGTGTAGACCCTCTAAAAATACAGGACCTTGAAAAAATATTCTTTAAAAAATCCACGCCTTGTGTAGACCCTTTAAAAATCCAGGCCCTTGAAAAAATATTCTTTAAAAAATCCACGCCTTGTGTAGACCCTTTAAAAATACAGGCCCTTGGAAAATATTCTTTAAAAAATCCACGCCTTGTGTAGACCCTTTAAAAATACAGGCCCTTGGAAAATATTCTTTAAAAAATCCACGCCTTGTGTAGACCCTGTAAAAATGCAGGCCCTTGGAAAATATTCTTTAAAAAATCCACGCCTTGTGTAGACCCTCTAAAAATACAGGCCCTTGGAAAATATTCTTTAAAAAATCCACGCCTATTATAGGCCTTGAAAAAATCATCTTTAAAAAATCCACGCCTTGTGTAGACCCTCTAAAAATACAGGCCCTTGGAAAATATTCTTTAAAAAATCCACGCCTATTATAGGCCTTGAAAAAATCATCTTTAAAAAATCCACGCCTTGTGTAGACCCTCTAAAAATACAGGCCCTTGAAAAAAAATCATCTTTAAAAAATCCACGCCTATTATAGGCCTTGAAAAAATCATCTTTAAAAAATCCACGCCTATTATAGGCCTTGAAAAAATCATCTTTAAAAAATCCACGCCTATTATAGGCCTTGAAAAAATCATCTTTAAAAAATCCACGCCTATTATAGGCCTTTAAAAAATATTCTTTAAAAAAATCCACGCCTATTATAGGCCTTGAAAATATATTCTTTAAAAAAATCCACGCCTATTATAGGCCTTAAAAAATATTCTTTAAAAAATCCAAGCCCTTGAAAACATATTCTTTAAAAAATCCACGCTTTGTGTAGACCCTTAAAAATCCAGGTCCTTGAAAAAATATTCTTTAAAAAATCCAAGCCTTTGAAAAAATATTCTTTAAAAAATCCAAGCCCTTGAAAAAATATTCTTTAAAAAATCCAAGCCCTTGAAAAAATATTCTTTAAAAAATCCAGGCCCTTGAAAAAATCTTCTTTAAAAAATCCACGCCTATTATAGACCTCGAAAAAATCTTGCTTAAAAAATCCACGCCTATTATAGGCCTTGAAAAAAAATCTTCTTTAAAAAATCCACGCCTATTATAGGCCTTGAAAATAAATCTTCTTTAAAAAATCCACGCCTATTATAGGCCTTGAAAAAAAATCTTCTTTAAAAAATCCACGCCTATTATAGGCCTTGAAAAAAATCTTCTTTAAAAAATCCACGCCTATTATAGGCCTTGAAAAAAAATCTTCTTTAAAAAATCCACGCCTATTATAGGCCTTGAAAAAAAATCTTCTTTAAAAAATCCACGCCTATTATAGGCATTGAAAAAAAATCTTCTTTAAAAAATCCACGCCTATTATAGGCCTTGAAAAAAAATCTTCTTTAAAAAATCCACGCCTATTATAGGCATTGAAAAAAAATCTTCTTTAAAAAATCCACGCCTATTATAGGCCTTGAAAAAAAATCTTCTTTAAAAAATCCACGCCTATTATAGGCATTGAAAAAAAATCTTCTTTAAAAAATCCACGCCTATTATAGGCCTTGAAAAAAAATCTTCTTTAAAAAATCCACGCCTATTATAGGCCTTGAAAAAAAATCTTCTTTAAAAAATCCACGCCTATTATAGGCCTTGAAAAAAAAAATCTTCTTTAAAAAATCCACGCCTATTATAGGCCTTGAAAGAATATTCTTTAAAAAATCCACGCCTATTATAGGTCTTGAAAAAATATTTTTTTTTTTTCAATTCCAACTAGTTAAAATATGTTTTCATTTTTTCCTCGAGTGTATTAGTAAGTCGAACTTTTGAATAAGACCTGACATAGTTTTCTCATAACCTGAATTGAATTATTTTGGGAATACACAAAACCCTATACGAGGAAAAAATGTGTAACACTTGTGTGTTATGTTATAATACCACCTTTTATGGCGGCGGCATGGATTACTACACCTCAGATCCATTGCTGTCATAATTTTTCCATTAAAAATTCTGGCTAATGCAAGTCGAGTGTCGACTGTTAGTGTGTATGTGTGTGTGTTCACAACCATCATCATGTCCCATTCGGTAGTTCTCTTCTTTGACCTGCAAGTCGTCATAAAAAAGGTCTAACGCTCTGTGTTCTTGCGTTGTGTAAGCTATGAAACAAGTTCTTTCGTTCGTTCGTTCCACCGTTCCATCCAGCTGGGAAAACACAAGCCGATGTTGTCTGAAACATCAAATGTTTGTTTAGCTTTTGAGGCAATGAAGAACCAAAAAAACAAAAACGAAAACTTGATTTTGTTTCCTTTAACGCAGCTAACGGCGACGGCGGCAAAATTCAGCAAAATGGCCCGGCCCGACTGGGTCTGGTCATATATCTGCTGACAAAATATGGCCAACTAACATTGCCATTCATCACCTTAGAAGTTGCTGCTGCTACTGCTACATGAAATGCCGTTCGTTTTTCTTGCTGTTGTTTTTGTAAAAAAAAAAACAACAACAATTCTCAATTGCAGAACAATTTAATTAAAATGAGGTTAAAGTATTCTAGAAGTGGTTCTTTAGGTATTCAAGTGTTTGATGTTTTGGTGAGAACAACAACAGCAACAACAAAAAAAACAATTTGAAAATAAATATATGTATGTATATAAGGTGACAGAAAACTGCCTCAAAGAGAGAATAATTTATGAAGCCAAGGGCAAAGATTAAATAATTCTTTCGAAGCCTGAAGGAGAAAATGCTTACGACTAATATTGAAGGGTTACCCGAGGTTCCAAACGAAATGACAAAGAGATATCATAAAAAATGTAAGTTAGAGTTTGGAATTTTTGCACGGGCATTGCGAATGCTCTTGCGATCAATGGTACTGAAAATGGAATATATCGGTCCAAATTTTGGTACAGACCCTATGTAATAGTACATCCCAATATTCGGTATTTTTGGAGACGTTTTTCAACTAAATTGCCTTTAATTTCATATTTTTTAATCTCATAGGGTAGAAAATGTTCATACCAAAAATGATCAATATTGGTGCAAGTTTAAGAGTTGGGTCCACATAGGGTTACCTTCCGAATCCCAATCTTTTGGAGATTTCAGGTATGTTTTTCAATTTTGGAGACGTTTTTCAACTAAATTGCCTGTAATTTGATATTTTGGAATCTCATAGGGTAGAAAATGTTCATACCAAAAATTATCAATATTGGTGCAAGTTTAAGAGTTGGGTCCACATAGGGTTACCTTCCGAATCCCAATCTTTTGGAGATTTCAGGTATGTTTTTCAACCGAATTGGCTTAAATTTGATATTTTAGATTCTCATTGGGTAGCAAATCTTTCAACCAAAAAATATAAAAATTGGTTCAAGTTTAAGAGGTAGCTCCCATATATAGGTCCTACCGATTATTCGGTATTTCGGGCATATTTGATAGTGTTTTCATTTTAAATAGCTGTAATTTTGTATTTTGGGTTCTTGTTGGCTAACAAATCTTCCCTCCAAAAATTGGCAATATTGGTTCAAGTTTTGGTAGAGGTTCCATTTAAGGTTACCTTCCGAACTCCAATCTTTTGGAGATTTTAGGTATGTTTTTTAACCGAATTGTCTTAAATTTGATATTTTAGGTTCTCATTGGCTAGAAAATCTTTCAACCAAAAAATATAAATATTGGTCCAAGTTATTGGGTACCTCCCATATAAGGGTACCTTCCAAATTTCGATATTTTGGGGATATTACATAGTGTTTTCAATCTAAATAACTATAATTTTGTATTTCTTGTTGGCTAATAAATCTTCCTTCCAAAAATTATCAATATTGGTGCAAGTTTTAGAGTTGGGTCCCACATAAGGTTACCTTCCGAATTCCGATCTTTTGGTGATTTTAGGTATGTTTTTCAACCGAATTGTCTAAAATTAAAAAAAATAGGTTTTCATTGGCTAGCAAATCTTTCTACGAAAAATTATCAATTTGGCCCAAGTTTTAATGGATAGCTCCCATATAAGGGTCCTGCCGATTATTCGGTATTTTGGCTATATTAGATATAATTTTCAAATTAAATAGATGTAATTTTGTATTTTGGGTTCTTGTTAGCTAAAAAATCTTCCCTCCAAAAATTAGCAATATTTGTTCAAGTTTTGGTGGAGGTCCCATTAAGGTTACCTTCCGAAGTCCGATTTTTTGGAGATTTTAG